GTGAACTTAAAGCATGGATCAGAGCTTTGAATTTTACATATTCCTTCAAACTCCGGATTTTATTTTTCTATGTATCTGAAACAAAAGGGTAAATTTACTTGCTTAAAGGACCCCGTGTGGTATTTCTGAAGGCTTCTTGCAGATTTTCAGATTCTCAAGGAGGTAAGATATCTTAGTGGACCCAATGGAGCACAGCTGGCCATGGGAAACCAAGGATTTAAAGGGGGCCTGCTATGAGGAGGAGCTCATGCTGAAGGTTAGCTCAATGGCTCACTTACCCCCATGAGTCCAGCACTCACAACCCCTCAGCCCTAATAGGGGCTGTGGCATCTGCACACAGGACAGGGCAGAGCCACAAACCTCCATAACCCCACAGGATTCCAGCATCATGTAGCCCTGCTGCCAAGTTGTTGCCATGGAAAAGAGTGGCTCTGGCCCTTTCAAAAGGGACACTGGACTGGGACAGTGGGAAACAGGACTTGCACCTAGCTTCTCACTAGCCAAGTCACCTTGAACCAATCATCCATCCATCTGGTTATTTACCTATATCATCACCAAAAAGCGCTGATTGACGGCTTACCATAGCCCACTGCTATGTCAGGGGTGAGCATACTGTGTGTCTCTCCTCAGTGTGCATGTGCTATAATGTGAACGTGTGTGCAAGAGGTTAGCAAAACATGATCTTCTGCCTCAGTTTCCACCCCAACTAGCCCTCTACAAATTTCATACAGGTAGTGTGTAAGCAAGTTGTATAGAACCAACCCTCAGGAAACAAATGACAAAAAATGTCATTTTAGGGGGATAATTGAAGTTGCAGAAGTGCATCTTTGCTTGTGTCCCTTCAGAATACATAGTCTACACATAGTTATGAAAATCGCATCTCCCTTTCAAGCTCCTCAGAGGCCAAGCTCCACAAAACAGATCTCAACACGCCCTCTCCCAGTACAATGAGCAGAGCTAGGGAGCTGCAGCCTACTGGTCTACCACAGGTCAATTAGATGCTGGTCCCAACAGATTCCCAACTCACTCTCATCCTGCCACCTGGTGTGACAAAGCTTGGGTGGCTTGATTGTTTGATTGATTGATTGTGGGAGGCATTTCTGAGTGACAATTATTCAAGGGCCATGTCTTTCTTGAGTTTTACTTGTTCTAGCCTCAGATTCAGCTCTCTGGAGAGCCCAAGGGTGATGGCAAATGCAAGTTTTCAAGTTCAACAGTAGCTGAATATTAATAGTTGAATGTATGGTGTCCAAAACATTATTTAAGAAATTCTTAGACTCTGGCCCAGGATTAGTTACTAGTCATATTGAGGCTTTGTAAGCCATGAGAAATTTGCCAGGAAACCCATATATCAGACTGTCCCACCCCTAGATCCTGCCTGAAAGTATAAATGCTGAATCAGAAGAACCAACCCAGTAAGTGAGACTTCCTTAGTGACCAAATCCCCACAGCTACTAGAGTCCTTACTTCATTCTTTGTCATTAGTATTTGCTTTGTCGTTAGTTGCTATTACGCTGGTATGTTATTACGTTGTTATCCTTTGTTGTTATGAGTAAAGAAGAAAAAAACCTCTCTTACTAAACATATTGCAGGGTTACCCTATAATTTGATGACAAATTAACATTTCTTTGAGAAGAGAAAAGAAAACTAAAAATTAGCACGATCAACAATTAACTTACCATACAATGATTCAAGGAAGCTTTCATTGGCCTGGTCTATACGTTCCTGGTTCATTTATATCCAAGAATATATTCTTACATATTTATAGGACAAAACAAATGACAAATTAATAAGATGACTCTAAGATGGGGAATATAAACCATCAGGTAGCTAAAATTAGAAGCAGATGTTATTATTACATGTTACTGGGTCATACTTGTATGTTGTTAAGCTTGTGGTATACTTAAAACCAATATATTTAATTTTTAAAATAGGGAGAAACGTAAAAATTTAAAGTTCACAAATAGAATATGGGCTAACTAATCTCAAATTGTGTTTACTAGGCTGTCATATGAAGGCTGGAAGGATGTCTGAGGGAGACATTGTGACACTCTCCTTAAAGCACAGCTCTGGGAATTCCACACTCCAGTGATGGTACAGAAAACCCACCACAACACACCTGCCTGCACATGTCTATAAAACCCAGGAGATCAGATGTCCATTATGGAATAGAGTCCAAATATAACTGAAGCCCAAAGAAGGAACCTAGAAAAGCTAAATCTGGCAAGGAAACCCTATTCTGAAGGAACTGAAGGATTTAAAATCAAGAATTACCAACTCAAAAGGTCTAAGAGTCTAATGGGTTTTTGCTTGTTTTTTGCTCTGGGGCCTTTTGTCTTGTTTTTAAAGAGAAAGATTAGTAAGATAAGAAGAAAGTGATAAGCTTTAGAAATAAGATGAGACACATCTTAAGTGACCCTCAGAAGTTGGATCAAGCAGCATTTGCTTGAAAATCAATCTCACTCTCTGGAGATCTGTTTCTTTCCTTAAAGAAAAAAAAAAAAAGTACAACGATTGATCAACTGATCACCAAGCCAATCATCAGAGTAAAATATTTTAAATAAGCTGTCCATGATATATGCCTGATGCCTCTGCCTACACAAACCACTCCTAAGCAGAATCTGAGAAAACAACTTGTTTTAACTTTTCATTATATTCTTATCCCCAGAGAATGGAGGTATTTGCGTACCTAGAGGGATTTGCCCTAAAATAACTAACTAACTAACTAACTAAATAAATAAATAAATAAATAAATAAATAAATGAAATAGAAAGGGGATTTTTTCTGAGCAAAACCAATGAAAGTTTATGGGAGCTGAGCAATGTGACAAGACGCCCCACTTGTACTACGCTTATTTCAAGCCAGGTAGTGTTCTGAGGGCTTTATATAATCTCATTCTTGAATCCGGGCAACAACCTCGCTGGGTAGGTACTATTTTTGTCCCCATTGTATTCATAAGTAAGAAAGGCACAGAAAGATTAAGTAACTTGCCCAAGGTCACACAGCAAGAAAGCAGCAAAGCCAGAATTTGATCCCAGGCCCAGTAGCTCTAAGGTCCGTGCTATCGATCACAGTAAATTACCTCAAGCAGGCAAACCACCTATTCAAACCTTCATCGTGTTGCAGACCTGTGCTCCACACCAGACATATAAAACGAATTTCACAGTCAAGAGAAGAGACAGAGCACAGAGGTTATTCCCATGTGTGAGTGGAGGTTCAAGAGAGAGACAGCCAACCCAGACTGGAGTTGGGGAGCTGGCAGTGGGGAGATGAAAATACAAGATTTGAAGGGGAGAAGCTGTGGAATTCACTGCCTTAGGAATGATCTTGCTCTGTGTCTTGAACATACAGCAGGGGGCGTGTGGGGGGGGGTGAGTCACACTTTCAAGGCAGGAAAAAAAAGGTGTTGTCTCAAGAGACAGTTAAGTAGCTTAATACAGCTGGCATAATGGTACCATGAGTGACAAAGGGTGGGGACACGCAGACAATACCAAGGAGGCAGAAATAAGATTATGAAGAGCCTTGTGGCCTGGCTAAGGAGTGTGGATTTATCTGAAATTGTGCAATAAACAACTGAAGAACTTTAGACTAAGAAACAAAATGACTAGATCTTTTTTCCTAGCTCACTGGCCATCACGAAGGGACTAGATCGGAGAGAGCAGAGGCTGGAAGCAGGAAGACTAGTTGGGAAGCTGTCACTGTATTTCAAAACTGTAACAAGAGGCTGGAATCAGGTAACCATGTAACCAGAGTAATAGCAATTTCTTAAACCAAGGAGCAGATCTGGGGCTCACACAGCCGCGCTATGCTTGGGCTTCTCTCCTCCCCTAACTTCCCTGCAGACTTCCAGCTCTCAGTGGCCTTCCTAAGGGTTCTGTCCTCAGGTTACGTCCCAATGCAGAACCTTAAAATGTCCCAGGGTCTTAAAAAAAGTGCTCCAAACAGCACCTTTTCACTAGTGATGAAACCAATGCTTGCCCCTTCTCCCTAACCTCCTCGCCATGCAAACAATTCTTGAAATTCTGATGTTAATCACGTTGGGAACATTTCTCTCTCTTTTTTGCTTATTGGAACTTGCTTACATTTCAGTCAAGGAGGTGTAGGTCATAACTGGCTTCTATAAGCCTAAAGTATTTTGGAAGGATTATGAATCAACATGGAATACACATTCTTGACCTTATTATCTGCCCCTTTCCTGGTCTGGCTAAAGGTCTTTTCAACAGGGCTTTTTTTAACAAAGGTCCTGGTGTGAGCTGCCACCGGTCTCGTCCCTCATTGTTAATGCCTTGTAGAAATGCCTGTTTCAACTGAAACTTTCCTCAACTGTGTCTCTTACGATTCTTGTACAAAATCATTGCTCTCCTCCCATTTGAAGGTTGAAAATATTACAGAAAAGCAGACGCTGGGCAAGTCCCCAGCACTTGCCTTCTTCCGAAATGAATGTTAAGATGTTGAATAAATATTATAATATTTAACTAAACTTCCTCCCGAACATACCTTATAGATTCTACCAAAGTAGATACCCTGTGAGAGCTGAAAACATGGGCCAGATGCTCTGGGCCTCTGGGATTGGAGTCCCGGATTCTTCTCACATTACAACCTACCTGCTTGCATTTTTTCACTCCTGGCAGAAATTATTTTGAACATCAACAGGATTTGTCGCATTTTTTTTTTAAAGTTCATTCTTTGAATAACCTCCTGACTAGAAGGGCCAGTTAGGATTTTCAGGACAAAGGACAATGGGATGATGGCCCTGCATCCCTTCTTCCCACCAGCCCCACCCCAACCTCTTAGCTTCCAAACCATTATGTCTTCCCCATAACGTTCCTTTAACTCTTCTCCATAAAACCCTGGCTGTCCCGCCTCCCTCCCGCGGATAAACGCGCTTGGTGACCATCAGGACGCCTAGAGCAGGGTCCTTATCTCCCCTCTCGGACCTGAGAAGACCAAGACTGAGGACGCGAGGGGGCGTCGTAAGAGTTAGGGGAAGGGGGCTTTACCTTCACGAAGAGGGTGATGTCGTGCTCCGGCCCCGGAGTCCCCTCCTCGGACACCTCGCCGTCCTCCCCGCGGCCGTTCAAGCGCGCCGCGTCGTCTGCGCCCTCGGCGCTGCCCTCCTCCGCCAGGTGGTTGCTGAGCTCGGCCTCCGGCTCCGCGGCCCCGGTCTGTGCGATCGCCTCCGCATCCGCGCTGCCCTCGGGGCGCTCCTCCTCGCCCTCGGCTGCGACCTCCTCGCCCGCTCCCTCCCGGCCGCGCTCTCGCCTCTCCTCCTCTGCCTCCTCCACCTGTTCCTGGGGTCCCCCCTGGTCCCCGTCCTCGCCTGCATCTGCCGTCGCGTCCCCAGGGGCCGCTTCCTCTGACCCTTCTCCCACCAGGCTCCCCGCCGCCTCCGCGGCGCCCAAGCCTGCACCCGGAGGCTCCCCCGAGAGCTCCCCGGGGCTGCACCCTGCGCCTTCCTCCGCGGCGGCCTCGGTCGCCTCCACCTGGGGCAGGGGGCTGCGGTCCCCTCCGGCCCTGGGCGCCCCTCCCGCCGACACCTCTTCCTCCATGCTGGCCGCCGGCGCCCCGGGCGCGCTGCTTCCCGGTTCCTCACACCCGCTCTCCGCCTCCTTCTCCGCCTGGCGGTCCGCGGGGCCCCCTACCTCCCCCTGAGTCTCCCCCGGGGCCTCTCCCTGCGAGGGGCGCCCAGAGCGCGCCTCCTCCGCCTGCTCTGCGCTGTTCGCCACCGCCCCTCCCTGGGGGGCCTCGGCGCCCTGCTCGGCGCCCTGCTCGGCCTCCTGCTCACCCTGCGCTCCGCTCGCGCCTGGCGTCACGGCCCCGGGTTCGCCGCCGGCGCCTGGCGCCCGCTCGCCCGTGCGCCCTCCGTCCCGCCCGCCGCCTTCCCCCTCTTTCCCCGCGGCCGTCGCGGCTACGCCTGCCCCCTCACCCCTCGGCGCTTCCGGGGCCCCCTCGCTCGCCTCCTCCCCTTTCGCCTGCCCGCCCACGTCCCCCAGCTCGCCGGGTCTCTCGGCCAGAAGCGCCGGGCCCTCGGACAGCCCCTGCGGACCCGGGGCGCCCCCCTCCGGCTCTGCTGCCTCGGCCATGGCCGCAGATCTCTGTCCTTGACCGGAGATCTTTCCTTTTGCGCTGCTCGCGGGGGCAGGTGGCGCTGGGCGAGGGGCAGAAGACCAGGGGCCACTGCGCCCCCTCAGGGAGGACGCCCCGCTCGGGCCTTGGCGGCCCGGGCACTGTGCGCTGGACGCGGGGGGCGAAATCCGCTGGGCCCAAGACACTGCTCCCCTTCTCCTGGGTTTAACCTCTCTGCCCTCTTCCTCCACCGCCGGTGCTTCTTCCCGGTTCTACGTCTGCTTCCCACCTGGACCCCAATTCCAACTGAACTCGCGGGCGGCGGAGGGGCAACGCGCGGCTGGAGAGGGCCGCTGTGCTCCTGCCCTCTTTGAAGTGCGAGGCCAGCCGTCCTGTGCTGACAAGAAGGCCTCAGCGCCAACTCCATCCCTCTGGGGCTTGGGCGGGGTTTGTACCTCCCTCTTGTCCCCCGGCTTGGGTGACCTGGGAGCCTGGCCAATGACAGCCTTTCTCAAGGCCCTTGTGGATTCCAGTGAAAAGATCCTGGTCCTACTGGCCACTTGGGTGTTTTCTGGAACCGCTTTAAGTTCCAGAGACATTTAAATCACCCAAAAAAAAACACACCCCACATGCAAATACCTAATCCCCGCTTGGCCCCAGGAGCAAGCCTTCAGCCTCTCAGCTGGAACCCAACTGCAGTTGCCTCAGTGTCCAAGCTCAAGGGTGGTAAATCCTGGAAGAAATGAGAAGGAGAAGCCACACGGCCACCTTCCAATGTTGCAAGGCCCTCCGGAGACGTTCCAGCGGCCCCAATATAATAGAAGCAAGAAGGGCCAGTTGAGCTACTCTGACTAGAGATGGGCTGTGTTGTGCATGAGGGTCCCCCTCTCCAGACCTGACAAGTACTAGGGATCCTGCACTGAGAGAAGGTTCTATTCTTTCTCTCCCTGGTCTCTAAAGTCTAAGTCTCTATATTCTGCAAATTCTCCTAGATTTTCTAAACCCATGACCAAGGCTTCTGTCTCAAAACTGTGTGTTAAGGGCTTGGACACCTTTATCCCTAAAAAGGGAAGTTATGATAAAAATCATGTAGTACGTTTGTTGCGGGCCAGGCTGGATCATGTGGGTTACAGTGAGCAACTGGTTGCCCAAGGTGGCACAGTTCCCTGTGGTGGAACAGGGGTCCCAACTGAAGACTGACTTGAGTTGTCAGGTTCTTAATGGTTTTGAGGCTTCCCTGAGACACAGCAGCCTACTGTGTGCACAGAGGTCTCCGCTGTCACTAAAAGATCAGGGGCATCTTTGACCACATTTGGCCAATCACCAGGATGTCTCCTACTTTTCACGGATGGGTGACAAGACAGGAGCCCAGTGTCACCCAGCTTCATGCTACCTTCCTCCACGATTGTGCCTTATCTGGGAAAGAACCCGCCAGAAGCTTCATTATCACATAGCAGTGTCTACTCAAACATGGCACTCGCATACATGAGCTAGACAGACATGTCAGACCCAGATCCTGCTCTGCGGAAGCTCCAGTCGCCTAGCAAAGGAATCCTGCTGTCCTCACAGGCAAGAAAACAGCCTTCAGCCTTATTTCTTAAGGAAAGATGGAGCCAGAGTATTCAGCTCCAAGCAGCAAATACAGCACAGGCTTACAGGCCCTTACGCCAACCCCGTGAGGCCAGATGTGTTTCAGAGGAAAAGAATTCTTAGAAAAATCCTTAGAAAGATGGCTGAGTGCGTATAGCGTATGTTATGTAACACTGCACCCCACCCTGTGATCAAACACACTCACATTTCTGCAGTGACGCAGGTTCCCATTAGGGTGGGACACGTAAAAAATCCCACATAGCGTCAGGGTCCCCAGTTCAAGTTCACCACCAAATGAGTTCTAGTCAGTCGGGTTTTGCTTCCAGATGAGTTCCTCAAAAAGCTTGCCGTTTCAGAGTGCTGTGGATTTCCGAACGTGTATAAGGGACAGTGGTCCTGGGACCCCTTGAAGAGTCCCTAGTTGATTTACAGCTCGGAAACATCTGAGATTAGATACACCTGTAAGTTTGTGCTTAATAACAAACCAGCTGTCTCCAATGCGCTTCTTTTACAAAGAACTAAATGAAAGGCCCCTACCTACGTGAGTAGTAATATTCCATAAACGTTAACTCAGGCAAAGCGGACAGAAATGTCCTGGGTGTGGGAAAGCTGGAATCTCTGGAAAAGCCTCCTTTCGAATCCAGTCAAGAGATGATTAACTAGTGAGTGCAGGCCTGGTACAGTTGACTGGCTGACTGAAGCTGGCCCCGGGGCAGCGAGCGTCCTTGTAGAAAAATATGAATAAAGACTGTTCAGTCCTGGCAACTGGTCCTGCAGATCACACAAGGCTGATTGATTCTATAGGGTTTATCCTTTTATACTGTTTAGGTTCATTTACTCACATTGACATCGGCTCTCCAAATAACTTCATTCCATCTAGAACATAAAATGTAGAATCTTTCACTTTTCAATCATAGTCTTAAGAAGCGGGTTTTTTACGGGGGTGGGAGAATTAAGTTCGCAAACTTTCTACCATATAAGTGCACAGTGTATTTTTACGTCATACAATTCTGAAAATGTCTTTCATTTCCTGTAATTAAACAAAATGTGTGATTATAAAATGATTACAGGCTCAATGCTGAAAATAGGGAAGACAGAAAGCAACAGAGTTCCTTACAATTATTCTCTAATCCCGTTATCCACAATAAACACTTCCTCCAATTTTGAGAGAGCAGGGGAGGGGGGAGAGGAAGAGAGATGGACTGTTTAGACCAGCGGTTCTCAACATTTCACAGGGGTCGCCTAAGACCATCGGAAAACACGTATTTTCGATGGTCTTAGGAACCGAGACACCGCTCCTCTATCCATCTCCAAGCCCACATGCAGATACGCCCACATACGAGTACCCGGTGACCCCTGTGAAAGGATCGTTCGACCCCCAAAGGGGTCGCAACCCACAGGTTGAGAACCGCTGGTTTAGACACTGAGCACACAGCAATGAGTAAGACTGAGGCATTCTCTTCCTTCTAAGGGCTTTGGGGCGACGGAAAAATAAACAATTAAACCTGATATCTTTGGATAATGCTAAGCTGTATACAGCCATACATACACTCGTGTGTAAGCACACACACATGCACATACTGAAAATCTTAATGGGCTCCATTCTTTCACACCCCACATCCAACTGGCCAGTAAATTCTATTGCTTCCACTTTTAAAATATATCCAGAATCCAACCCCTTCTCTCTACCCCCGTTGCTACCATGCTGGTGCAAGCCACCATCACCTCCTCATTGGTCCTCCTGCTTCTGCCTTGCCCACCTACAGTCTGTTCTCCACCCCACAGCCACATGATCCTCCTTTGAGATCACCTGTCCGCCATGCCACTTTAATGTTTGAAACCTTTCAAAGGCTTCCTGTCTCATACCACGATAAAGTCAAGTTCTTACACATCAAGTATGAGAGCCCATAACATCAGGAACAGCAATCTCTTTCTGGCCTCAGTGGCTCCTAACACTCCAGCCTCTCTGCTGTTTCTAGAACTTGCTGGGTAGTCCTCTGCCTGGGCATTCCCTATATCCTCCTCCATCACCCCTGACCTTGTTGAGGTCTTTTATAAGCCATTTTCTCTAAGCACCCTATTTTGTTTTATTTTCATGGTGATAGCACTTAAGATCTACCTCCTTAGCAATATACAATACAATATTGCTAACTGTAGTCACATTATTGTACATTAGATCTCCAGGACTTACTCATCTTGTAAAACTGAAACTTTGTACCCTTGACTAACATCTCCCTATGACCCCCTCCCCCCAACCCTAACCTCCATTCTACTCTGTTTTTCTGATTTGACTATTTTGGATTCCACATGTAAATGAGAGCATGCAGTGTGCAGTATGTGTCTTTCTGCATCTGGCTTATTCCACTTAGCATAATGTTCTCCGGGTTCATCCATGTTGTTACGAATGGCAAGATTCCCTTCCTTTTGCAGCTGAATAATATTCACAGATAGATAGATGATGATATAGATAGATGATATAGATATAGATATAGATATAGATATAGATATAGATATAGATATAGATATAGATATAGATATATAGATATAGATATATATCTCACATTTCTTTTTTCCATTCATTCATTAAAGGACACTTAGATTGTTTTCATATCTTAATTATCATGAGTAATGCTGCAATGAACATGGATAAACACCCTATTTTAAAACACAGCTTCTACTCTGTCGCCCTTTTCTGCCTTATTTTCCCCCATAGCAGTTGTTTCCCTATGACATAGAATATATTTTGCTTACTTATTACCTGTCTCCCCTAGGATAATGGTTCTGTGAAGCCTGGGGTTTTTGTTTGTCATTGCCTGGAACAGGACTGGGTATGTGGTAGAAGCAGCTCAATAAATATGTGTTGAGTGAATGAATACATGCATGCTTTCATACACATATGTATTGATCTGAACCCATTTTGAAAAATATTTTTCTCAGCTGGTTTTATACTTTGTGGGACAAGCTAATGTCACAAGACACGCGGTTCACAGAAATTCTTATCGACTGACTTTGGTGACTACTTCAGCAAATACATTTAATTATTAGCAAAGGGCAAGTCGGTTCATATGAAGGAACACAAAGGAAATACCAAATAAATAGAGTTGTGAAGGTCACTGTGAAGTCACTTAGAGATTTGCACATTGTTAACTGGGCAGCCAGAACCAGATTAGCTATTTAAATACCAAGGAGGGTTAAACAGAGGTGACAAATTCAGGGACGGGAGGCAAAAGCAAAAGTGCTGATACTCAAGAGGTTCGGTAATTCTAGAGTTTTCCTACCATATATTACAAAGAATCATGAAGCAGGTTGTCTCAGGGATGACGAAGAGAATCCCAAGGGCTCATAAATAAACAATTTAATGGTTTGTTGTTTTTGCTATTTTTCCAGAATGAATGGACTCGTTTCCACAGAGATCCTCTCTTTCTCTGAAGGTCTCTCCTTTCAGTAGAGCCCTTGGGATTGTGACATATAAATATTCAGATCATAGGATACACTTATGATGAACCAAAGCCCCCTTCGTCCTGCTTTCTCTTCCAACAGCTCTTCCTCCTCACGTAAGAATAGCCCCAAACCTGCCTTAATCTGCCTGGCTTTGTTCAGTTTCTTGTAAACGTACATTTAGGCTCCAAGAAGGATGCCACAGCGGAACAGGCCTAAATTAGGAGGCAGGGGTGCAACAGGGCTAGAGCAGCTTGCAAGTCAGTAAGAGCATGACGCAAACCAACAGGAATAATGCCATGGAGAAATGGGTGGGTTCTTGGGTCATGCTGCCTGATTTAAACCCCACTCTAGCTTGTATTAACTGTGTGATCTTGCCTGAGTTTTTCATCTCGGACAGCGGGACTGTTAAAATGGGACCACTGTCATCGTGAGTTTGGAATCAGAATGTTCGTCTCATACTCAGCACAGCGCTTGTTATTGTTAACATTATGCCTCATTATCCG